GCAGCATGCAAGCAAGAAGCTTTTGGAGGATGGTCACAGGCTGATGCCTCCCCAACGATGATGAGAGAGCTTCTGAGCCCTTGGGAAGCTGGGTTTAAGTGCATTGAGTGGTTACACCTGCTTCTGGGTTTTTTCCATTGAAATGCAAATAGTTTTTGACCCTCCAAGTCCAGTTTAATGCTAAGGAGGTATTCTTTAAGTCTACTTAAGTGAACTAACTATCCAATGCTGGCAATAATTCTAACTGCGTGTATAAGTTGGGTGCAAAGCCACGCAAACCCTGCACTGGCCTGGGCGATAATATCAGTTCTTTGCTTTTGGCTAGGAAGTTTCTACCCTTTTTCCTAAGGGACAGTGAGAGCCTGGATGACTCCTGACTGAGGCAGTTTTAGCCGCAGGTAGTTTCTTTTGTTGAGTGGGAAATGGGATAGTGACCCTTGATTTGCACATCAGGTTTTGCCGGAGAAGGGGGGCAGGGGCAATTTATTAAGTACAAGAAAGTCTGTTCTTTTAATACCTTAATAAATTTAACAACACTGGCCTTGTTCCTTTTCATGGGGGGTTACAGGGCTGTTGTCTGGACTATGGGCTCTTTGGGGACATATGAGTTTAGCCCCCATCTTTTTTAGTTCAGTGGCCTTTTTATTAGATTGAGCTGAGCCCCTTTATGCTTATTTGGATCTTTTTGCTTAGGATCGACCTGTTCCCTCAGTTAACTGTGGACGTATTTTTTTCTTTTCTAGTGTCCTCTTTTTTAACAGAATGCACACTGATTGCATTGCAGGCCTGGGCAGACAGACTGGTGGAGTTTCCAGGAACCCCCGCTTTTTTATACTTTTGGGGGTTCTGGTAATCTGCAGGAACATGCTCTTTCAGCCAATTAGAAGTGGCTTGGAGTATTCTTTGCCTTTTGTCTGTGTTAAAAAAGATGCATAAGCAGCTGATGGTAATCGGCGCAAATGGGGTTATAAGTCTGAATAATAGTTTGCAGTGGATCAATTAGAACTTGGGGTTTCTCGGTATAAGATGGGTTGTTTTTAATTGATAAGATTAGCTGAGGTGAACGGCAGGTATGTGAAAACACGCCTTTTTACCATGTGGCTGTTCTCATCCACTCCTGTGTACCTTTGCTCTCTTTTTTTTTTTTTTGAGACAGAGTTTCGCTCTTGTTACCCAGGCTGGAGTGCAATGGCGCGATCTCGGCTCACCGCAACCTCCGCCTCCTGGGCTCAGGCAATTCTCCTGCCTCAGCCTCCTGAGTAGCTGGGATTACAGGCACGCGCCACCATGCCCAGCTAATTTTTTGTATTTTTTTTTTTTTTTTTTTTTTTTGAGACGGGGTTTCGCTTTTGTTACCCAGGCTGGAGTGCAATGGCACGATCTCGGCTCACCGCAACCTCCGCCCCCTGGGTTCAAGCAATTCTCCTGCCTCAGCCTCCCTAGTAGCTGGGACTACAGGCATGCGCCACCATGCCCAGCTAATTTTTGTATCTTTAGTAGAGACGGGGTTTCACCATGTTGACCAGGATGGTCTCGATCTCTTGACCTCGTGATCCACCCGCCTCGGCCTCCCAAAGTGCTGGGATTACAGGCTTGAGCCACCGCGCCCGGCCAATTTTTTGTATTTTTAATAGAGACGGGGTTTCACCATGTTGACCAGGATGGTCTCGATCTCTTAACCTCGTGATCCACCCGCCTTGGCCTCCCAAAGTGCTGGGATTACAAGCTTGAGCCACCACACCTGGCCCCTTTGCTCTCTTAAAGGCATCTGTACCCCGGCCTTGGGTCTCAGATGAGCTGCTAGAGGGGGAGTTCCCTCTTGGAAGTGAGCAGCAATGGACGGAGTTTTTCCACTTTTTTTTTTTTTTTTGTCTGCTTTGGAGGATTTTAGGGGTGTGCAGCTCTGGTAGGGATGCTGAAGCCTCTGGCTTAGGGGCAGGGAGTCCTTGAGGAGGAGGAGGAGGAGGAGGCATTATTGACAAAAACTTCTGCCACTGGGTCTACCAAAACTTTGGGAGTTGTCTCTGCCACTGAATCTGCCTAGAACTTGAGATTCCGTGTTTTTCAGTGGCGAGGGGGATGGTGATTTCTAGCAGTCTGTCCTTTGACTACTGAAACAGTTGCTACTTGCTCTTTTAGCTACTTCGGAGGGTTTAACACTAACTGCAACTACCAGTCTATGTATGGAAATTGATCGAGGTGTTTTAGCTCGCTGTATATAACCTTATGCTTTACTTTGGCGACAAGGGACTTGTCTAGGGTCCTCTTTGGGGGCTAACTTACCTTAAGTGCTGACCAATTTTCCTTGCATAAAACCTTTAATTTTTTTTGGTGTTATAGTTACTTTATATTTCCTACTAAATCCCTTTTTGAAATTTTTCAGCATGGTTTTTAAAGGGGTGGGCTTGCTATGGGAGTGACCCATATTAACACTTCAAAGAAACAATTTTTACAGCTAGGAGAATGCTAGTTTACTTACAGCAGTTTTTGTTCCTGCTTAGCAAGACGCAGCACAGAGCACTTTCTGATTTACATTTACTTTAATTTTTTTACAATCGCTTAGAGGCTTTTTCACTTAAGCCTTCTGTGGCTGTCTTTAATTTTTACAAATTGCTTGACGCATGAGGCTTTTCTTAATGGGCTTGATACTTTTTACAACCGATGGGTCTGGTTGGACACATCTATACACACAGACACACATTTAATTGCTCTCCTTCTAATTCAAAACCGTAAGCAAAAGCTTCCAAGGTTACAGAGAGCTACTTTCCAACGTGCCAATTTGGCACCCGTGGGTGATCAGGCCACGCTTCTACCCAAAATGGGGTGGGCTACTTTCCCGGGTTTAATTTTCTTTTACGAATACACACATCTGATTGCTCTTCCTCCAATTTAAAACTATAAGCAGAAGCTTCCAAGGTTACTGTAAACTTAAAATTCTTCTACGTGTACCATCTAAAGTATAAGCCTATATAAAGGCTGAACCTCCCTTTGTTAAACAAGTTTTGCTGTTAAGCATATATGCCGCAAAAGCCCCTAACATGCCAATTGGGCACCCGTGGGTGATCAGGCTTCGCCTCCACCCAAAATGGGGTGGGCTACTTTTCCAGGTTCAATTTTACTAAATTTAATGTCTAGACTTCCTCAAATGTTCATTTTTTCTCGGTGTTCAGCCACTGGGTGGATCCGCACTGCAGGGCTTCCTGGTTCCACTCTAGCCAGGCTTTTCCGCCGGGCAGATACTTGCCCAGGAGCGCTGTTAGGATGCGTTGCCCCAGTGAGCAGGAGTCCCCCCTGCAGGGATGCTCCATAGGTCTAGGCAAACTACTTAAGAGACTCTTTCCCACCGACTGCTATCCAAGACTCGCTTCCCTGCCAACGCACCAAAAATGTAGCAGGAGCGGCCACGGGAAAGGATCTCTTGGACACTGAATGCAGGAGGAAGGAATGTATCACATCTGGGAGTTTTGCGGCATATGTGCTTAACAGCAAAACTTGTTTAACAAGGGGAGATCCAGCCTTTATATAGGCTTATACTTTAGATGCTACATGTGGAAGAATTTTAAGTTTATAGTTTTAGGACTTACATGTGGAAAGGTTTTTGTTTACAGTTTTAGGAATTACATATGAAAGGGTTTCAGTTTACAGTTTTAGGAATTACATATGAAAGGGTTGGTTCACAGTTTTAGGACTTAACATGTGAAAAGGTTTCTGTTTACAGTTTTGGGAATTACATATGAAAGGGTTTTGGTTTACAGTTTTAGGACTTAACATGTGAAAAGGTTTTTGGTTTGATTTTGTTTTAAGTAAAAATAGTGCTTTTTGAAGTTTCTCCAAGGCTTAGCCTGTTGTTTTTAGGAAGAAGATTTAGGAGGTGCCAGCTGTCCTGCTCTCTCTTCTATTGAGATGTACAATGGATGTGACAGAAGGGGAGGGAATCCTAAATGCCTGAGTCTCACTCCTCACTCTCTTATGTCATTTGTGAGGCATAACTTGTGAGGTTTTCACTTGTAAAATGTCCTCAGGCAAGAACCATGCTTCAGTTAAGGGAAGAAAGTAGGTTATGTAAAAAAGCTGGGGATGTGGGAGAGTTTGTTATCCAAATTGCATGGTGGAAAGGTTTGCATGCTAAAACTGAGAAAAGAAAGAACCATTGAGCAGTTACAGAGATGAGAACACAGGAAAGGCTAGACAAGTAAAGGGCATACGTTATGGTTAGTGACCAAGGATGATAGGTTTTAGCGGCAATACTCGCTGTGAAAATGTTTTAGCATTTCTCTTGTGGTTGGAGTTAGGGAATACTCAGTTGAGCCATGGTTTTAGAGCACGTCTAAGGTAGTTCCAGTCACTGGTGGATTAGGAAGTCTTTCTCTAGGAGGCAGGTTTCATCCAGATTAATTGGATCGATTCTAGAAAGTGTCAAGGGTTGAGCCTTTAAGGGAGTGAGGATAGGCTGCATTACAGAGTCAAAGATCCCGTATACTTGCTTCAACTAAAGGAAACAACTGTAATTGTATCCTGAAACAGATAACTTTATAGGTCCATGATTAATATCACAGTGAATACATTTTTAGTTTAGAATTTTTCAGGTTGGTATGGGTGAAAAAAATTGGTGTGCATACTCTCTAGGAGATACTGTTACCTATTGACTTAAAAAAACATCTATTTTGTGTGTAATTGAGACATATAACATGACGTTTTGACACACATGTTAATAGTGAAATCATTATAGTCAAGCAAATTAATGTAATTCATTATCTTGAATAGTTACCTTTCTTGTGTGTATGGCAAAAATATAAAAAATCTACTCTCAGTAAATATCCAGTATACCAATATATTACTAACTATAGTCTTCATGCTGTACATGGTGACTGTATTATATGAAACACTGAATATTGAGCTGTGTGGTATATTTTACCTTAGACATAGCAAAGTTGCTAGAATTCCTGTGAGTAGTAGTTAAAGGGTTACAGAAACTGACTGTGTGTCTTATTTCATTGAAGGACTATTGGAAATGCACTTCATGCAATGAAATGAATCCCCCGCTTCCGTCACATTGTAACAGATGTTGGGCCCTTCGTGAGAATTGGCTTCCTGAAGATAAAGGGAAAGATAAAGGGGAAATCTCTGAGAAAGCCAAACTGGAAAACTCAACACAAGCTGAAGAGGGCTTTGATGTTCCTGATTGTAAAAAAATTACAGTGAATGATTCCAAAGAGTCATGTGTTGAGGAAAATGAAGATAAAATTACACAAGCCTCACAGTCACAAGAAAGTGAGGACTATTCTCAGCCGTCAACTTCTAGTAGCATTATTTATAGCAGCCAAGAAGATGCGAAAGAGTCTGAAAGGGAAGAAACACAAGACAAAGAAGAAAGTATGGAATCTAGTTTGCCCCTTAATGCCATTGAACCTTGTGTGATTTGTCAAGGTCGACCTAAAAATGGTTGCATTGTCCATGGCAAAACAGGACATCTTATGGCCTGCTTTACATGTGCAAAGAAGCTAAAGAAAAGGAATAAGCCCTGCCCAGTATGTAGACAACCAATTCAAATGATTGTGCTAACTTATTTCCCCTAGTTGCCCTGTGTATAAGAGAACTATATTTCTACATAATTAACCCTAAGGATTCAGACAGCATGAAATTTATTTACATATATCAAAGTGAGAAATTGCCTCAGTCCATATGGATTTCTTCTCTTTAGTATAATTTACCTACTTTGGTAGTGAAATAGTAAATACTTACTTTGAAGAAAATTTCATTCTGTGTCTATTTTGTATTTGGGTTTTAACATAATTTGAATTGAATAGCTCATTCTTTACCACAACCCCAAATTTTAAATAATTTCTACTCTGTCTTAAATGAGAATTATCTATTTTTTAAAATATATGTATATGACATTTAAATGTAACTTATTTAGTACCTTTCATGTAAAGGGAAATTGGTGGAAAGACTTAGTTTTTTGTTTTTTCTCTTTGCTTTTTTTTGAGACAGAGTCTCACTCGGTTGCCCAAGCTGGAGTGCAGTGGCACAGTCTTGCAGTCTCCACCTTCTCAGTTTAAGCAGTCTCCTGCCTCAGTTTCCAGAGCAGCTAGGATTACAGGCACGAGCCACAACACCATCTGATTTTTTTGTATTTTTAGTAGAGACAGGATTTCACCATGTTGACAGCGTGGTCTTTAACTCCTAAACTCAAGTGATCCACCCCCCTCAGTCTCCTAAAATGCTGAGATTATAGGTGTAAGGCACTGTACCCGGCCCCAAATTTTAGGTATTCTTAAACCTTCTGATCTTTAGTTTCTCTCTCCAAAATACTCTTTCTAGTTTAAAAAAAAAATTGGCTCTTATATTTGGTGCTATGTAAATAAAAATGGGTTACTTTTTTTTTTCTTTTTTTTTGTTTTTGCAGTAGAGACAGGGTCTCCTTATATTGTCCAGGCTGGTCTTGAGCTCCTGGACTCGAGGGATCCTCCTGGCTTGGCATCCAGAAGTGCTAGGTAGGATTATAGGCGTAAGCTACCCCACGTGGCTGTAAAAATGTACTTCTTATTCTCCAGCCTCTTTTGTATAAACAACTGAAGTAAGGGATGCGTGGGTAATGATGCTACCAGTGAAAACAGCTACCATTTACCCATAAGACAAAACTTTCTAAAGCCTCCTGAGTAAAATGTGGAATTGTCTTGGGAGTCTAACCTATTTTATCAAGCCTAACCTTTCACACAAAAGCCTAACCTTTTAACACAAAAATATCTTTTCGGGATTTAATGGAACCTGTTGTTTCCCCTAAGTTGAAAAACAGCTGTAGGACACTTCAGGTCCCTTCCTGGGCTGGATTACTTGGTGCCCAGCCTAGGCTTCAGACTTTTGCTTAAGGCCAGTTTCAGAAACCCGTGAATTCAGAAGGGTTAATTCAGAAATTTGATGAACGGAATTGTTTAACAACTAACTGGAAAGATTGCAAGTTTTTTTCTGAATTATCCAGAAATGATGCATCCTTTTCCTTCAAGAATGACAAGGTCAGAATGTGGAATTCCAAGATACCTCTAGACTCTAGCTCCATGTTTGGTCAGTGGAGGCCCGTGTGAGCTCAGCATGTGTACTGAGAAGTGTTACGTCTTTTAGAGCCAATCTACCCTGCTCAAATCACGGTGTTCATCTGCAGCTACTGCACGGTGTTCAGATTGTGTGAATCCAAATGTCATAAAAACTTTAGAAGTGCAATTCTTGAAAGGGTAGGTGGACTAAAGCATTCAGTAGAGCAACTGATAATAATAAGCTTACAGTGGATAATTCATTTGAATTTGAAAAATATAGAAATGAACCTGTCAAATACCAGCAAGAACTGAAGAATAAAATTACTGATGCAGTGAAGACAGATGCAAAGATCAAACAATTGCAGACTAAATTTATAAGGAACAAATTGAAGAAAAAGGACTACAGAAAGTTCAGGACATCAAAGAAGTCAGGCAAAACTCATCTTGACCCCTCTTGCAGGCAAAGGAAAGCAGCTGGAACAAAAGATGATACAACCGTTACAACAGGATGCAGGCATGGAAGAGGTTTCCTAAAAATCTTATCTGTAACTACTAATATATTTACATGTGAAAATCTCTTTTGGAGACTTAAAACCTCTAAATTATTATTATTTTTTTGAGCCAGTCTTGCTCTATTGCCAGGTGCCAGTCGAGTGCAGTGGCGCAATCTTGGCTCACTGCAACCTCCGCCTTCTGAGTTCAAATGATTCTCCTGCCTCAGCCTCCCAAGCAGCTGGGACTACAGGTGTGTGCCACTGTGCCCAGCTTATTTTCTTTGTATTTTATTAGAGACGGGGTTTCACCATCTTGGCCAGGATGGTCTTGATCTCTTGACCTCGTGATCTGCCCGCCTCGGCCTCCAAAGTGCTGAGATTACAGGCATGAGCCACTGCACCCAGCCTGATTTATTTTTTATATAAGGTCACTCAAATGAAAGGTGATTAAAAAATCACCTACATTGCTATCTATAAAATATCAGATAATAGGGATATTAGATTGCATTTCATTATTAACTCTTCACTGATAGATATGTTTATGTAAGTCATGAAAATTCTGTTTGTAAATGCAGAAGTGAAATGACAAAATGGTTATGCCATTTGGTTAGTGATACTAGGCAACATTTATATAATAACTAATGACAAAATTTAAAAATTTATAAGGCCAGGCGCGGTGGCTCACGCCTGTAATCCCAGCACTTTGGGAGGCCGAGGCGGGTGGATCATGAGGTCAAGAGATCGAGACCATCCTGGTCAACATGGTGAAACCCCGTCTCTACTAAAAATACAAAAAATTAGCTGGGCATGGTGGCGCGTGCCTGTAATTCCAGCTACTCAGGAGGCTGAGGCAGGAGAATTGCCTGAACCCAGGAGGCGGAGGTTGCGGTGAGCCGAGATGGCACCATTGCACTCCAGCCTGGGTAACAAGAGCAAAACTCCGTCTCCAAAAAAAAAAAAAAAAAAAAAAAAATTTATAGCTAGTGATAGACATAAAATTTCCTTAGCAGTAAAAATGCCCTTTATTGTTATAGAAGGGAGGATATAAGGAACCAACAGTTTGTATGAAAATAGCTCAAATAATATATTTTGAGTTTAATATTTCTTGTTTTGGTTTATTAGCATTTTAGAACAAAACAGCCTTATGTGATGAAGCCTAGTTTGCTGGACTGTTTTGACCTGGTTTAACTCTTCTGACAGATAGTTGGGAAGGAGAGCTGAATAACCTTTGTCTGAAACGATGCTATATAATTTCTGCTTTGGCAAATACTCAGTTCTAACTTGTGATTCCTGGTAGAACAAGCTTTGTATTTCAAGTCTAGCAGTGATCTAGAAGGAGATGTATCTCAGTGCCTTTTAAAATTTGTTGTGTGGTTTTCTTTAAAAAAGCCACACAATAATTTTGGAAAACAATGTATGGGTAGAACATCTGTCTAGTATTTGTACATAAAACCACTTTTTTTTGAGACACAGTCTTGCTCTGTTGCCAGGCTCCAGGCTAGAATGCAGTGGCGTGATCTCAGCTCACTGCAACCTCTGCCTCCTGGGTTCAAGCAGTTCTCCTGCCTCAGCCTCCCGAGTAGCTGGGACTACAGATGTGTGCCACCACGCCCAGCTAATTTTTATATTTTAGTAGAGATGGGGTTTCACTCTGTTGGCTAGGATGGTCTCGATCGCTTGACCTTGTGATCTGCTCATCTTGGCCTCCCAAAGTGCTGGGATTACAGGTGTGAGCCACCGCGCCCAGCCTAGAAAACAACTTTTAATGGGTACAGAGATTAATTAGGAGGAATAAGTTCTGATGTCCTATTGCACAGTAGGGTGACTATAATTATTGAACGTTCTTGCTACAAATCAATGATAAATGTTTGAGTTGATAGGTGTGCTAATTGCACTGATTTGATCTATACACATTGTACCTGAAACAGTACATGCGCCATAAATATTTACAATTATGTATCAGTTTAAAATTTTATAAAACATTTGTAATGTAAAAAGTATCAAACTGTGTAGATTAACTTCTTGATTTGTATTTAAATATGAATCTTAAGCAAAATAGTGAAAATAACTATCTGGTTTAGTGTTTTTCTCCCGTATGTGATTTATATATACTTACAATACAATCAACTGAACTGTAAGCTTAGAATAGGCCGCAGGGATAATTTTGCACAGCAGTTTTACTAATGGTACATTGTTAGATTGTTGCTTAAAAAGAAACCCACACATTGACATATGAAACCAATGGCCAAAGGGATTAGTACTTTACCTGGAGTTCCTCAAAGCCTTATTTGAAGTTGAACCAAGTAGAATCTGTTTTTTTTTCCTGAGGAGTGTAGCATAAATGTGATTATAAACAAAGTACACATAAGATATATGTATGCAATGACTGCTATTTATACAAAATTTAAATCTGCAACATGTTTATGGGTTATTAAAATTATCTAAATTCTTAGGTTCTGTATAGTACACATGTATTGATTTACAAATAAATGATTTATTAAGTGATTAAGAGTTGTTTTAAGAATGTGATTATTTGATCTTAAACAATTTTTTAATGAGTTAAAATGGAAATTGTTTGAATATCATATATTTGGGTAACAAAAGGCACAAGTCTGAATGTTTCTGGAATGGCTATGCCTGCCCACTTTAGAAATAGAAATATCACTGTGCAGCTTGAAGCAGATAGGAGCCTCCAGTGAGAGCAACTTGACAGAATGATGTTCCAAGTTAGTAGGAGTAAGAAAGGATTTGTTCACCCTGTCTTCACTTAGGTCACATGGCAAGCTGGCCTAAGTGATCGTGAATAGTCTATATAGCATATAGCTGGGACAAGGAGAGGAGTTTGGGCTAGCCACCCTGCCACTTGTCAGCATGAAAAGCCTGATTATAATTGCCTATTTACCTGTCTGCCTCGTCTTTGAAAGTTCCACAAAGCTGGGAACCTCTTGATTGTGATACACAAATGTAAGTGCTCAGTAAGAATTTACTAAATGAAAGCATTGAGACCTGAGTCTTGAAAGCTGGCTTTGGCTGGGCGCAGTGGCTCATAATTCTAGCACTTTGGGTGGCTGAGGTGGGCGAATCAACTCCGAGGTCTGGAGTTTGAGATCAGCCTGACCAGCATGGTGGAACCACCCCTCTACTTAAAATACAAAAATTAGCCAGGCATGGTGGCATGCACCCGTAATCCCAGCTACTCAGCAGGCTGAGGCAGGAGAACCACTTGAACCAGGGAGGTAGAGATTGCAGTGAGCCAAGATCACACCACTGCTTGGGCGGCAGAGTGAGACTGTCTCAAAAATAACGAAAACCATACCAAAAACAATAACGAAAGCTGGCTTTGGCTGGGAGCGGTGGCTCACACCTGTAATCCTAGCACTTTGGGAGGCCGAGGCGGATGGATCACAAGGTCAGGAGATTGAGATCATTCTGCCTAACACAGTGAAAACCCGTCTCTACTAAAACCACAAAAAATTAGCCAGGTGTGGTGGCAGACGCCTGTAGTCCCCACTATTCAGGAGGCTGAGGCAGGAGAATCACTTGAACCTGGGAGGTAGAGGTTGCAGTGAGCCAATATT